GTTTATAATTTTTTATGTGTTTTGAATTATTTTATTAATTTATTATTTAAAAAATATTTTTAATGTTAAAAAGTAAATTAAAATTATAATAAAATATAATTTTATTTACATAAAAATAAATTAAGATTAAAAACAATTTTTTATTATAAAAATAATAATTTTCTTTAAAAAATTATAATCACTTATTTAAAATATAAATCTTAAAAATTAAAATTACATAAATAACACACACAATGTTAATATTAAAAAATATGTAAATTTAATAAATATAATGAATAAAATTATAATTATTTAAGTATGCATGTATAAGAGAATTACTTACAATGTCAAAACTTGAAAAGCTTAAACTTTATTTATTTAAATAATTAGAAATAATATTAAGCTTGAACTAGCTAATTTAATTAAATAAATAAATTTAGTGAATCAAACATAATTTACAACTAACTCAACTTATTTATACTGTTTATACACGACAACCCTTTAAAGCCTAACGCACTCAGTATTCTTTATTAAGTTCAAATTTGATGATCCCAACTTTCTAGTAAAATAATAAATGCTTAGGGATTTTATAATATTTGGAGACATTTGTCGACTACCCATTTACTGTTACTCTATTAATTCATATTCTGATTTGGATGGAATATTTTTAAAGGTACACTTCCCTTTATCATTAGCTCAAACTAGCATTTGGACTTCTCATCAACCACTATTAAATTATCTAGGCTAGACTCAGTATAATTGATAATGTAAAAGTCATATATTAAGGTAATAACAAAACAAATAAATCATTAAATTATTATCGATATAAAATAATCAACTATGATTTCAGTATCTTATTATTATTATTATAAATTTAAAGTGTGTATTACAAATTTACGTTTTTCATGAAAAAGTAAAAATTTAATATTATTTTTTAAAATATTTAATATTATTTTCATCGTTATTTTGTGACTATAATACTAAAAAAAAAAAATAACTATTTTGTTTATTGTTATATAAAATAATATTATAGATAAAATAATATCTTTGGATTACAATAATTATTATTTAGATATAATAATTATAAATTTTGTTTAATCATGTTATGTAAAAGCTTTATACTGTTTGTTACGTTATATTTTATTTTATAATTTGTGAATTAAAAGAGTAACAATTAGAGAAATGCTCTCTAAAATTCACTTTAGAGAATGGATCAACCACTCTTCAAAGTTATTCTTAGAGACTAATAGAAAATTTATTTCAAAAGTTTTTCTTTTTTATAAATTAAAATTTTAAAATGTCTAGTAATTTCTATTTTGCAAATAAAGCACATTCAACTCACACCTTATGAATCTCTTTATTTTATTCTATGCTAATAAAGTAATTTTTTTTTTTTTGTCTTTTCTATGTTAATAAAGTTAATCTTTTTCACTTATTTACCTTTCTCATAGTTTTCTTCATTATCTTTTTCTTTATTTTTCTCTCTATTAACACTGAAACATCCTATTAATTTATTCTTTTTTCTGTACTTACTAGTATTTGGTTCATGCAAATGTAAATTATTTGGTTAATATAATATACAAACTCCATTTTCAACATCCAGACAAATAATTAATTTGATTTGTATAAAAATGAAGAAATTTTTAATGTTAGACATACAAATTCAAATTTAAATATAGCAATAAATAAATTTTGATTTGTAATAAAAAACTCATAAAAAATAAATTTCAAATTTCAGATTCGTAGTTTATAATTATATTTTGAGAATAGTTATATGAACTGCTCTTTAAGTAACATCTATTTTGGATAACAATATACTTATTAGAGCAGTTTAAACTTCTTTTTAAAACAATACAAAATTATTATCTAATCCTTCTTTTGTTGGAGTGATTACAATGAAGATATCTTTTATAAATTGGGATTGATAGATGAGTTCCTCCAAAAAAATAAGGGAGACTAGTAATGTTTTAAGTATGTCTTTTGTGAATTTGGACGGATAGATGATGAGGTTATCGCAAGAAAATACTTCAAAAGTTTATGTCAAAAGAGATCTTAAGTTAGTGAAATGTGTGTAAAGCAATAACTATGTAACATTCTATTAACATAAATTGTGGTAAAGGTTGTGCTGAATTGACATTTACAACATGTTTTTGATAGTTCTAGCAATTTTTTAGTAGTGTTTAAGTCTTGCTTGTTAAGGCTTTTTAGTGTGCAAATTATATGTGGATGAGACAAGTATCATAGACGTCTTTTTCTTTTTGAGCAATAGACAATTAAAATGGAGATGTCAAATTTATTAATAATTTAGTATAAAATAATTATTTGATAGTCATAAATAATGAATATAAGAATTTTAACTTTAGTAGTGATATTAGTGCGACTATCTTTTAGTTTGGTGTGAATTAACATTAACTTGAATGAAATTAGAATAAAGTAAAAATAAAGAAGTTATTGTATGGATAAAAATATAATGTTAATTATATTAATAATATTTATAAAAAATAATAGTGTTGTTACTTTATTATTTTAACCATAATATTTTTATATTATTATTTTATTGATATAGATTTGTGTAAAATTCTAATTAATTTTTCAGTAAGATAAGCTAATTTGATTTATTTTTAAATTAAAAATATTTTTTATTTTTAATTATCATAACATTAAAAACATAATTATGTTTATAGCAGTTTTATATCACAAATTCATCACAGATTAAACTTTTAATTTAGTGTTCAAAAATAGTTTATATTTTTAAAGAAATATTTGATAATATTTTTAAAATATTTATTTTTTGTGAAGTAAATGTTCGGTGAAACAAAATAATTTGTTTATTATCTTTGTTGATAAATAAATTATATTATTTTTATTTTCAAAATGTAATGCTAAACCATATTAATATTATAATACAAATATTTTAAATAATTAATATTATAAATTAAAAAATACATATAATTTTTCTGAGTACAAAATTATTATATATGTCTAAGTCTTCTGTATTTTACACTTTTGATTTTTTTAAAATTTTTCAAAAATATTATATAAAAATACCAAAAATTTAAAGAAATGAAAAGTCATATATATATATATATATATAATAGGCTGAGAAAAATAAAATAAAAATTAATAAAAAAGTCAATATATTTTTACTGAGATATAAACTTATATTTAGAAGTCTTACAAAATTGAAATTTAGAATAAAATATTTTTAATTTATGAGTCATAATCATTAGTTCAAAGTATTTTAAAAATATTATTTATAGAAATACTTTCCTTCTCATGATATACAATATTTGATAATATTTTATTCAGAAAAATTATTTTAATTTAATTATACTTGTGCAATGTAAAAAAAAATTACTCATGGGGAAAATATAAGTCCCAATTCTGAGATGGTTTGGTAAAAAATAATTAATTTAATTTAATTTAATTTTGTATCTTCTATTAATAATACATTTAAATATTATAACATTAAACTTTTATCTTTTACCAATAATATTAGCAAAAGGGTAATCAAAATTTTTATAATGCCTAGTGTTCTAAATAAATATTTTACTGTAACAGAATTTTTTTTTTACTTAGTGTAATATGTGATAAAAATTTAATAGAGAATGTATTATTTTTTAAATAGAATAGTAGAAACAAGTAAAAATTATGCACTAATGATTCAACACGAAAACTGGATTAAATGAATAGTTATATTGAAACAAACATATTAAAAAAATGTCTAACAATCAAAGTTTATCTTAAAAATAATTACATTTTAAAAATGACTATTAGATTATAAAATGAACAGATTATAGCATGTATAAACAAGTTTTATATTTTATCTTTTATTTTTTTAATTTTTTTTTAAACATTCACTTTAATCCTTTAAATATTCACCTAACATTTATTTTATATTTTAAACATTTACGACATTAAATTCTTCTAATATTGAAAGGTACACAAGTAATTATCATTTTGATTTCATTTAAGAAATTAAGAGATTTATTTAATATTGGAAACCTTTTAATTAATGCTTTTGAAAGACTTATTTTAAGTAATGAATAAATATTTATTATTATTTTTAAATAAGTTCTATTATTTTTTTCAAGAATAGATTTGATCAAATAAAAAATAATTTAATTAAATTATATTTACTGTATAAACATTTTTACATAAAAAAATTATAAATTATCATATTATTATGATTTATTAGCTTTTAAATTATTATTTTCAAAATTTATATTTAAAATATTATTTGATTAATGAATGAATTTTTTATTTGATTAATGAATGAATTTTTTATTCTCTATCTAAAAATATCTTGGTCGAATTCAAATTAAATTAGATGTGAAACAAAAAAAATATAAAATAAAAAAAATAAAACAATACAACTATTTTTTATTAAAAGATAAAAATTAAAAAAATATTAGTGTGATATTTTATTATTTTTAATAAAATTATTTTATAAATTAATCTGATGAGCATTTATACAAACGTTAAAAAAATTAATTAATTAATAATTTAAAGACCTTTTCATTAAAAGTATATTAAAATCAAATTCACAAAAATTATTTAACGATATAATAATGCATTACAAATTGTTACTGATATAAAAATAAAACTAAATATTTCACAAATCCGTTCATATGAATACGAAATCTTGTTTGCACTTAAAAAATTTTCTTTCTGTTTTAAAATGGGCACTTCAAGTCTTTTAATTAATACAATCAATTAATTGTCGTATAACATTTATTTTCAGTATTAATTTTTTAATGGAATAATTAATTATTTTAATTAATGAAAAATAAGCATAAACGCGTTTAAAATTTGATAGGAACTGTAGAAGCTGGCTGCAGGCATACAGATTTGACTGAAGCGTCCACCACGCGGCATGGACCTCTGTTGTACAGAATCACACTCTTTTACTTACCTTCCACGTACCCAAATTTGCTTCCTATTCTATTCCCAGATGCCACCTCCACCCACGTCCCTTTATAATATATATAAACACACACAGGTTAACACAACGCAAATTCCCAATTCATTATTCTTCATTGCACCTTTCACACTTTCATCGATTGCAATTAATCTTAACCACCGTTCATAAAAGAAAAAAAAAATGGAAACCCCAATGACACTCACCGGCTTGCTCCGCCGCGTTGCCGGAAAATTCCCCTCCCTCCGAGCCATCTCCGTCGCCGGAAAATTCGACATCACCCACTCCCGCCTCCACCAACTGGCCGAATCTGCCGCCGCTCGCTTGGTCTCCGCCGGAATCAAGCCCGGCGATGTCGTCGCCCTCACCTTCCCTAACACCGTCGAGGTTCGTTTCGTTTGGTTGCTTGGAAAACGATGTAGAAAACAAGAGAAAATACTCACACGTTTCCTTTTCTTTTTTTGTTTCAGTTCGTTGTTATGTTCTTAGCCGTTATTCGAGCTCGAGCCACAGCGGCGCCGTTAAACCCGGCTTACACAGCCGATGAGTTCGAGTTTTACTTATCCGACTCGGAATCGAAGCTTCTGTTGACATCGTTGGAAGGAAACGAGCCGGCTCAGTCCGCGGCTTCCAAGCTCAACATCCCCCGCGCCGCGGCTTCAATTAGTCAAGCCGAAAACGAACAAGCCGAGCTGAGTCTCTCGTTGAACCACCTCGACTCGATTGACTCGGTTTCCGAACTCGTTAATGAGCCTGATGACGTGGCGCTTTTTCTCCACACCTCGGGCACAACGAGCCGTCCCAAGGGAGTGCCACTGACTCAGCACAACTTGTTATCATCGGTGAGGAACATCGAGTCAGTGTACCGACTCACTGAGTCTGACTCGACGGTGATTGTGCTTCCTTTGTTTCACGTTCACGGGTTGATCGCCGGGTTACTGAGTTCACTCGGCGCCGGCGCGGCGGTGGCGTTGCCGGCGGCGGGAAGGTTCTCTGCGTCGACGTTTTGGAAGGACATGGTTAAGTACAACGCCACGTGGTACACTGCGGTTCCTACCATACACCAGATCATACTGGATCGCCACTCGAATAACCCCGAACCGGTTTACCCGAGGCTCCGGTTTATTAGGAGCTGTAGTGCTTCGCTTGCACCGGTTATTTTAGGTAAACTGGAAGAGGCTTTCGGAGCACCGGTTTTGGAGGCTTATGCGATGACTGAGGCCTCTCATCTTATGGCTTCGAACCCGTTGCCACAAGATGGGCCCCACAAGGCCGGGTCAGTTGGGAAACCCGTGGGTCAAGAAATGGCTATATTGAATGAAACGGGTCGGGTCCAAGAAGCTGAGGTTAGTGGAGAGGTTTGTATTCGGGGACCCAACGTGACAAAAGGATATAAGAACAACGTGGATGCTAATACGGCGGCGTTTCAGTTTGGTTGGTTTCACACTGGTGATATTGGATACTTTGATTCGGAGGGGTACTTGCATCTCGTGGGTCGGATCAAGGAACTCATTAACCGAGGAGGTATTATTATTATTATTTTATATTCATCATTTAATTCAACTTTATTAGCTATATTATTATTATGCTTGGGAATGAAATATAAAACGTGGGTACAATAGTTAAACTAGTTTGGGGTTCTTTTTAAATTAAGTAAGTATTTGATGTGAAGAATTGTGGAATATGCCTAAACTCATCTTGCAATGAGAATGAATTGTGGAATACGAATATTATGAATTGTGGAACACTATGTGATCTCCAAACTTGGTGCATTGACAATGTTAAAGAAAAGTCCGCGTTGAACAGAGCTTAACGTTGAATGTCTTCCTGATTAGGGTTTCGTTCTAGTTTTCTAATTTGTCAGGTAGTCGTGACTCAAGAAACTTCTTAATATTTGCATTTTTGATCCATAAATTATTTATTAACATGGAAATAGCGTTGAATGTTTTTGGTTGAAGTTGGCTTTTCGTTTGTATTAACAACAGTTGTTATACCGGTTACGTGGCCAAGTAAATGATGGTGATGTTAATTGGGTTTTGATTTGCTAGTCATATCACGAAGGAAGTGGACACAATTGTGGTATTAAGTATTAACCATCCATATCATAAGATTAGGTAATAAAAAGTAGAAATATAATAATTTAAATTTTATTTTCATTGATTTGTATCACATAGAAAAAGAAAAAGAAAATCTATTTCGCATTTATTTAATATGGTTCTCAACTCATCTGTGTTTCACTTTCTGAAGATTGTCCGATGAAGGTGCATTTTTTTAAATATTTTATTCTCTTATTTTAGGGGAAAAAATATCACCAATAGAAGTGGATGGTGTCCTTCTATCACATCCAGACATTGCTCAGGCTGTTGCTTTCGGAGTGCCCGATGAGAAGTATGGCGAAGAGGTATGTCTTTTTCTAATTTATTTTTGGGTCTTATTATACTGTGTACATCATCTTTTGTTTTTTTCCCTGGAAGAAACTACAGTTGAACTATAAAATATAAATTTTCCCCATCATTTTATATGGATTGAAGTATCAAATTATATAACTTATATTTACTTTTACACTAATTTATACTTTTTTATTTAATTTTCTTAATAGAAAATCAACTATTAAATTAAAAGTTTTAATTATATAAATTATGTTTATCAATTTTAGGTTAATTTTCTTCAATAAAAAAAATCAACAATGAAGAAGAAAAATAATACTTGAAATAGTAGTTTGATGGAATTGACTATAGATACTGGTACTAAATGGGTCATTGATGACGGCAAAACTGTGTCTACTTGTGTTCGTAAGAAAGCTCTTGCCTCACAAAAATAAACACAGGCCTACTTGTTTTCTCATAATTGGTGGTATATCAGATGACACTTCTATTTTGTGCATTGATTGGTTATTAACGATAACGTGTGATGAGGCCCTACCAACAGGGTAACATCTTCCAGAAAGCCAAACTGAACCGAGGATTTCTGTGGTGTTCAGTTTTTATCACTTTCTGCCCTCAGGAGTCGCACTCTATCATATACCAACATTTCGTGGCGTACAAGAAAACTCATCTGCTTCAGAAGAGTCCATTTCTATCTCAACATCTTTTGGCAAATGGATTTATAAGCTTTTCGATGCCATGTTACAGAAAATCACTTTCCTATCTTAATATCCACCGATAGGGAAAATGATCCAAATCTGAAAAGCTTTTCGTGTGATCTTGGTTCTCAAAATGGCATTATTTTCTTTAAACGGTTCAGCTACTTCATAACCTTTTGATGCCATTCTCCTTAAGGAAAACACCTTGTTAATTGTCACCTTGCAACTACTCGTTTTCTGACCCACTTACGGGACCCTTCGCAATAACTTTTTAATATCACGAGATTTTCATTAAGAAGTTTTAATATTTCCGAATATTCATGATCAGTTCAAAAGTGCTTAAAAATAAGTAGGTGACCACCCTTTTTCTTGTGTGCACTTTGAGATATTAAATGAAAAGAATTCTGAAATTGGTCATGATGCATCTATTATTTCATTGAAAATTGGGTTGAACATATCTTTTTACCTTTCAACAGATATACTGTGCTGTGATCCCAAGAGAAGGATCAAACATTGATGAGGTAGAGGTTCTAAGATATAGCAAGAAGAATCTTGCATCTTTCAAGGTCCCCAAAAAGGTCTTCGTTACTGATTCTTTGCCCAAGACCGCCACTGGAAAGATTTTGCGCCGTCTTGTAGCAGAACACTTTGTCTCTCATATTTGAGAAGGATGAGTCCCTAGCTTTGATGCCTACATCCATGGCCAATACATGGTTGGAGTCTGCAGACCATAAATTTAAACAATAATTTGGCTACTTGGCATTTAAGAGGTCGATATTTCTGCAAATGGTCTTTCCTACAGGATACAATATAGATTGGGGTTTTCAATGATTCTTGTTAAATGTTCAGAATGTAATGTTTTCAATATTTTATAGATCTTAAATTCCTAGTCCTTTTTTGTTTACATTTCCAACTTCATGAATCATGAGATGTGGGAAATTAAAAATTAATCGTCCAGATAATAAGTATGAAAACCTTCAACTAGAACAGCACAAACATCAGTTCTAAACACCGATATTCTTGCAAAGTGCAACTGACATTTTAAAGTGAAGGACTTAATTTAAATATTTAAAAAATTAGAGAGACTAAATATTAGGAACTAAAACTATACTGAAAATGCAATTAAAGTCTTGAATATAACAGTGAAAGGGTTTCTAATGTCTGAATAAGAAATGTTGAAATGAAGGGGCTTAAAGTCAAACAGAAGATAAGCAGAGAGAAGTGTGCCATGCTTGTCATGACTGGAAAAATTATTGAGTGATCTAACGAGATCTGGGTCGCTTGCATTGCATTATGTGAATAAATTTTATAATTTATTAAAAAGTTGATTTATATAGCAACGTGAATAGCCAGATCACATGGTTCCTGATGATGAATTTTTCGTCATGACAGAGTCAAATATTGGTTGCCACAAAAGATGAATAGAACACCACTGCAATTTTAGTCCTAGTCCATCTCTTGGTCCTCTGAAGTAATTAGGATAATGCACTATTAGGCTCTCACAAACTATACATCACTGCGTCGGGTTTCAACTATCTTCACTCAAACGAGAAATACCAAACAATGCAATGCATGAGTTAAGTAGCACATAGCAGCAAACGTACACGTGAAAAGATAATACTCATCTAAAGCTAGCTTGTTATGAAGTGATAAAGACTGTATTCATGCTTAAAGTGCATAGTGATCTTAACCTACTAAAATTCAAGAGAACAATTACATTTTAAGGATCCTTTTTTCCAAAATAGTGTGATTTGAATTAGGAAATATTAGCAATATTCAGTAAACATCCCTACGACCGTTGATATTTATCAACAATTCTTTCTGGACACATTCTTAGCAATTGTCAGTACAATAGCAATAAGACAACTTTCCGAAGAACATAGCAGTGAATTGTTCAGTCTATCTCTTCAACATATCCTGAAGATTGTGAAATATTTTAAATATTTGTGAAAATATATGTAATAAAAGAACTTGTTACAAATAAGAAAGAATGAATTTTACTAAACAGATAAATAAATATGGGGAAATTGAAAGAAGAGTAGGATAATCTCTAAATTTACCTAAAATTGTCATTTTTTTATAAAAATAAATTTTCAAGTTGTATATACTCTGATTAAACTTATACAGCATACACTTTAATTTATTTATTTTTTAATAAGTACTCAAGTATATCCATGGTGTACTAGTATCCGGTATGCAAAAGCTGATATTGTAGAGAGCCTCGTTATCCAACAGGATCAGATACCTCAAGGGTATTCTTCCCGCATCTTGGAAATTCGAATCGTTCCCTTAACCTCATTCTAAACCAGTTCACCCTCCCAAGGAATGGCACAACTGAAGCAGCAATAAGCAAAAAGTGCAAAACTTGTTTTTAGCACCCGGATTACGAAACACAAGAACAATACGATTTCATATAGAACCCACATGCCCTTGTCATCATAACACACTCAGGATTTATCCCTTTTTCACACATATAAAGTCAAGGTAAAACACCAATCTGATTCTGCATATTTTCATTTCATATGTCACACAAGAGACTCTATCCAAGACTTCAATACCATCTCTTTTAATTATAGTTGAGATTATTGGAATTACAAAAATTGCAGGTAAAACAACTTGGCTTTCCATTCCTTGCTCCTACACATTCTTGATTTGAATATGGTTTTCCATGTAACTTCAAGTTATTCATTATGTTAGTTAATTGTGCTAACATCTCATCCGTAGCTTCATGCTTCTATACTCGTGGGAATGTAAGGGTTTTCTCAATGAAATGAACTTCAGAATCTGGTTTCCCTGCTCATCAATAGGTAAGTAACTGTAACATAACTTGGCCATTCTAAGCAACAATAATTCAATGCTAAAGTAAAAGTTATGCCACTGTTTTCTTGTTGGCATACTAAGCAACCTTAGGTGTTAGGACACAGGATTCCTAAGTACTCACTGTAGGCACTGTGTCTTATTCCTACGGTTCAATCATGGGTCAAGAAGTACCCAATTTAGCTAAGCTTACAATTAAGGTCCCTTTTATTTGTTACAGTCTCAAGAGTCACTTTCAAAATACTTCAATCACTTCTACATTACTTGTGGAATGAATCTAACTGCATCGTCAAGTCTTGAGTTGCTTATAAGATTAGGGAGTTGTTGGAATTTAAATTATTGCTTCTGTTGGACATGCTGAAGGAAGTTTTACAGGAAATATAGGAGTAGGATTTGCAGCGGATTTTGGGGCATTTGTAGTGTAATTTTCTTAAAGAACAATGAGGCATGCTTATATAGAATTATTATGAGAATTATGAAATTCAAGTAATTCTATAATAGCAAAATCAAATATAGAAATTACATCGTGGAATAAATCTAACATTTTGGGGCACTTGTAGTGTTATTTTCTTCGACAGAACATTGAGTCATGCTTATTTTCTTTTTCTTAACCACTTGAAACCTTTGATTAATGAGACCATAGTCTAAAGGTAAGACTTTTCTCCTTGCTTAAATTGTGGTTTTCCAGCTAAGAAGTGAGAGACATCACAAGGTGCTGTTCAAGCCATTAATAATCTAGAAATGTTCCCTTTCTATATGTTGATTATTTGTGTGTGTTATTACTTCTTTTTGTTTATCTTCTTTCATATGTAATTAAAATTATTGATGTCAGTAAAACTTAAAGAGCTTAATATTGATTTTTTTATTTACAATGGATTGACGAATAAGAAATTTTTATTATCGTTGGGTGTGAAACAATCTTCTTACACTGTATTATTCAGGATGTGCAACATCTGTTCAATTGTAAGAAAGGTACTAACTAGTCATGATAACTCTGCTTGCAACCAAATCATGCAACAGTTGAACTTTAATATACGCAAAGATTAGACATACCACTCCCAATCAAAAGTATAATGTGGTGTTAGTTAAAAAAAAAACATGCCTATTGGTTGCAGCATTTGCAAAGTCATTGAATTGAGATATTTTTCAAGTTCTAAATTATTAATATTATTATTACTAGTTTTAGTTTTGGTTTTCTTTGGCCAGAATAGCTATATTTTGTCATTTGATTGTATTAGTTGTTGTCTGGACTGAAGATAAATATTTTAGAAGTCTATTATAAAAACAATGAAATTAGATTCATGATGATGACCTTTCTAACTCTTCTAATGTTGAAATGATAATTAGGAAGAGAGTTATGGTTATTTATGCAGGCTAGTGAGTAACATACATTGAGCTGTGTTCTCTTAATAAAAATAAACACAATGATGTATAGTGATGATTGCTGCTTGTATAGCACAGTCAATAGTAGCAATTTATAATGTATAGTGAGTTACACTTGTATCACAAAAAAAAAAACTTGACATGATTACAAACTGATTATAATTCATTTCTAATGTCATCTAACATATGTAGAACAACAACTTGTTATCCAAAACAAATTGCGTCAGGCTCTCGAAATTGAAAGAATGAAACAAAGTGAATGCGTTAGGCAATGGGCCATTTAACTTACTTTTACAAAATAAAGATAGGAAAGGCCAACAAGATTGTCTAACCTGACAGTAACATGATGACAGTTTTATTTTTCACAATATAAAATAGTATTGAAAAAAATTAAACAAAGTGCCAGAGTAAGAGAATAAATGGGCCATATAACCTATTTTACCAAGACAAAGATAGGAAAGTCCGTATTAAATTTGACCAGCCACGTAATACTGTGAATCAATAGCTTCATTATTATTTGATAATTTTAACTTGCAGAACATAAAATACTAATTACCATATTACCAAAAAGATTAGAGTTTGGACCACAGATAATTAATAATACAAAAATAGACAGAGCTCCATGATTTATACATGAATGAAGGAGCAACCACAGCCCAGAATCCCACCATAAATCCAAATGCCATACTCACAGAAAACCAATTCACTTCATGTCCTTCACTCTCATTGCCATTTTGATCAATATTAGGAATTTTGCCATTTGAAATGCAGTTGATGGGCAACGGCTCGCCACATAGATTATTGTCAACAAAGTTGGATGCCTCAAGGGATTGCAACTGTGTGCCTGTGGGTATTTTTCCCTTCAAATGATTATAAGACAAGTTCAGCAAGCTAATAAAGCTCAAATTTGATATGGTTGTGGGGATTTCACCAGAAAGTTGATTCCTTGAAAAATCCAGGGATTGCAATGAGCCAATGCTTTGTGGAATATGACCAGTTAATTGATTGTGAGACAAGTTCAAAAAATTCAATCCATCTAGATTTGTGATTTCTCTAGGCATTTCTCCTATTAATTTGTTATCTGAGAGATCAATGCTTGTTATCAAACCAAGAATATTTTGATACTCATCTCCCCTTCCTTTCAGCCACAGATGCATGCTTACAACACCAGATTCAGAACTGTTTACTGATGAACTAAGGATAAATGGATCAGTACTTCTGTTTGGCAACATCATGGCATTCAAGTGGTTGAAACAATTTGGGATATTGCCCGAGAAACTATTGTTTGCAAGGTCCAAAACCTGAAGAGATTTCAAAGCACATATTTGACTGGGAATGTGACTAAAAAATTTGTTTGATCGAAGACGAAGAAATTTCAAATTTATGAGTCTTTCGCCGATCCATGATGGAATATTTCCTGAAAAATTATTTTCGCCAAGGTCCAAGGATATTAACTCACTAGTGTTCTTCAAAATCGGGGGAAAATTTCCAGAAAGTGTGTTGTTGCGGAATTGCAAAGACTGAAGCAACGATAAAGAGCCCACAGACGAGGGTAAATTCCCAGTAAAATGGTTGCTTTGTAAATTTACATCCACAAGATATGGCCACATTAGCCAACAATCAGGAATTTCCCTTGATAAATTATTTGATGCAAGGTTGAGAAACTCTAATTTCTTTGGCTTGTCATGATTTTTGCAAAGGAATTCAGTCATGGATCCGGAGAACAAGTTGTGTGATAGGTCTAAGCGAATCATTTTATCAAAAAGTTGAGGCAGTTGGCCACGTGAGCGATTTGAGCTTAGATCCAATGTATTTGGAAGCTCACCATGGATGCTATTATGAGAGAGGTCCATATCAGACGCCTGAGAAAATGTTTCCCAAAACCAAGTGGGAATAGAATCTGAAATCCCTGTGTTAGAGATTCTCAGAGCATTAAGATATTTTTGTGACTGAATCCACGATGGAAATTTGGGACCCAAGTTCCATGAGCTCAGTGTCAATCTAGTAACTTGAAATCTAGGACTCCAATTAGGAGTCACTTCTAAAGAGAAGTTGTTCCCTCTCGCATAAAATCTCTTTAAGTTCGTAAGATTTGCAAGATCATCTTCCTTCACAACTCCTTGAAAACGATTGTCGCCAATAGAAAGATATGACAATTTAGAGATCGATCCAAGACTTTCAAATGGATTTCCATTGAATAGATTGTTGGACAGATCAAGAACCCTTAATGACGAGAGTTTTCTAAATGATGGAGGGAGTGCACCATCAATTGAGTTGTTGTACAAGTGCAACATCTCAATATTTTTGAACATCCCAATTTGATCTGTGAGATTGCCTGACAGATGAGAGCTCCCAACTTGAAGACTTGTGAGTCCATGGGAAATACAAGGAGCCAGAATTTCCAAGATTTCACTAACTCGTTGGTTGAGTTTGAGACGTGAGAAACCAACTTCCCTTATGTTGCAGAGATTACCCAAAGAAGTTGGAATTCTTCCTTCAATCTGATTTGCAGAGAAATAAAGTGCAACCAGAGAAGTCAAATTTCCCAGGGCATCAGAAATATTTCCACACAAGTTGTTGTATGAAAGGTCCAAGAACTTGAGATGACGAAAACTATATATCCAATCTGGTAAAGATGAGAATGAATTGTAATACAAGTCAAGATTTTCAAGAAGTGTGAGGTTTTGAAGGCCATCAGGAATTGGACCTTCGAACTGATTACCACTTAATTGAAGAGAAACAAGTCTCCTCAGTCCAAATATCCACTTTGGGACAACAGAAGAAAAATGAGTAAAGGAAAGGTCGAGAGTGAGAAGAGATGAAAAGTTGAGTAAGGATGGTTGATTATAAGGATGGACAATACAATATGACAAGTGTAGGTCCGTCAAAGAAGGAAGAGCACTCAGAGTTTGTAGCCAATCAAATGATTTGGACAGGTCTGCAGCTCTCAAATCAACATACTGAAGATTGGAAAGACCCGATAGCCAATCAAGATTTTCAGCAAACATAGCTCCCTTGTCATAATAACTTGCAAGGCCAAGATGTACCAAATTTGTGAGGTTCCCAAATTGAGGAGGAATCTTACCACTGAATCCGGCATTTGAGAGGTTGAGGTAAGTTAAGGAGGTGATTGCCCCAATGAAAGTAGGAATTTGCATACCTCCAAAGTCATTGCCGCTTAAGTCCAAGTAATTCAAATGCTTCAAATCAACCAAACATGGATTTATCTCTCCACCAAAACTCGATTTCACAAAAGCATCATATGCGACATCGTCGTACTCGTCAGAAGGAGGTGTAATACTGAGGTGAAGCTCAACAACATGGGCAGTTATATTACTGCACACAACTCCTAACCACTCACAGCAATTGGTATTAGCAGTTGCATTCCAAGAAGAGAGCCTATTCGAATGATCAATGAGATGATCTTTCAACTTCACAAGTGTTTCACTCTCACTTGGGATGCACACTACATCTCTCGATGCCTTGCAAATTACTATAGGAAACGTCAACAAGGCAAGACAGAAAAGGCTAAATATAGAATTCATGATCACACAATGCATTCCATACAATGTTTTTTGAGTGATTCTTGCTTCTGCATGTTAAACCTTCTTTCTAATATTTATATTGGTTGGTGCCTTGCCTTTTTTATTTTTAATATCTTCCTCCTTTTTCTTTAACTGATTTTATATTGACTGAAACATCCTGTTGAACAAAATTCTTAGACACTGTGAATTTTTATATATATTTTTATCTCTCTCACTGTTTAAAATTCTTGTTCTAAATTATTAAAAATTTGACGCGACAACAAGTTATCATTTTAAATAGATTAATTTTAGTACAAAATTTGAACAATTGTTTCATATTAAAATACTTGAGTAAACAATTTGCAGGAAAACATGATATAACTATAATAGATTAACTGCTGACTTTACTTGAATTATTTCTGTACCAAATACTAAAATAAAGCATATAAACAAAATTTTATAATGTAGTTCTTAGAGCTAATTAAATGGTTGATTCTTGTAATCTAGCACCATTGTGTTATTCATTTACAATGGAATACAAATTTCTTAACTTATATTACACAGTGAGACAGATTGTGTTATTTATTTGTTTAGTTAATTAGAAATTTAATTTTGTAATTAAGGTTTTAATTTTAATTTGATTTTATAGTTACGATTTTAATTTAGGAATTATTTAGCTATTTAGAAATTCTTTTCATCTCTATTTTATTGGATTGGGCTTTTTTTTGTTGTCCATGTTGATATTAGGATTTATTTAGCCTATAATATGCTCTTTTGTAAACAATTGACAACTTTTGAATGAGAAACAACTCTGTTTTTTTGTACGAGTCAGAGAGTATTTACTATAGAGGTTTTAAGTTCTGGTTATAATTAAGTCACATAGATATTACATTAAGTTTAACTTTTTTAAAATTTGAAGTTGAAGCGGAGCAAGTGTTTCATTTTGTTTTTTCATAGATATAACACAAATGTTAAGAGTGAGTCAAGCAAATAAAAACAAAAATGATTAAAATATATCAATCAATTTAAAGATTATTTTGTTCCTATCTATTTATTTTATATATTTTTTTAATTTAACAAAATAATATTCTTCTTTGTTATTTTACTTTTCATTTTCTATATTTGAAAAGGTTGCTGTGTTATTTTTTCATTTCAATTGTATTTGAATAGCAAAATATGTTTATTGAAATAAAAACTAATTAGAGAGGCTTACCTAGAAGAAATGTTGGATATAAAAAAATCATATCATGGGCTGTCATATTACTAGACAAGTCTTTACTTTGATAGTTCCTATCCATAGAATATTTCACAACAAAATAAACAAAAGAACATACAAAGAAATGGGATACATTTTAAACTTTATACCCTTAGTCTATATGTCACTACTAAACCTTATGTCCATATTGTTGAAGTCTTTATTTTTATTTAAATGTGTGTTTACTTCTATGATATAATATCTTACACGTAAACTAAAAAAATAAAAAAAATACATAAAATGTATTTTAAATTCAATATCTATGATCTATCATACTATTAGACTACATGTCAATTCTTCTAAATATTCTATTAGTTTAGTTTAATAAATTTATAATCCTCTAACATTTATTTTTGTTAATGTTACACCTAAATCTCGTTCCTAATTTAATTTGAATAAAAGAATTTATTTAAAATTTAAATTATTTTAATGATAACAATAAAATAATTAAACTTAATAATTACATATTATATAATAGGTTGTAAAATTTATATTAAAAATTACTCCCTCCAGTCTTTTTTATAAGAAACAAAATAAAACATTTTTTTATTCTTTATTATAAGAAACAAATAATAGATTTAAGATGTATTAATTGTTAATTTTTTTTATACTATTCTTTTATTAGTATTATTAAATATATGCATTATTAACTACATTATTTAATATCATATGTATTTTTAAAGCAAAATTTATATATATAAAAAATATAACTGAATTAATTACTTTCCTTAATCTAATAATTTAATTTTTTGTTTCTTATAAATAGAGTCAGAAAAGGAGTATAACATATAGTTACAAAAACATTCTAAAATATAAAATTTGATTCACTCGTCGCATTATTATACATAATAGTAGAAGATACAATATCTAAATAAATAATATAACTACAGGGTCAAAATGCACTAAACATTAATTTTCATTAAAGAATCATCAATATTCACTTATGATGTTTTCTACTGTGTTATTCAATAACTAGAACACTCTACAAATTATCAAATAATAATAATAATAATAATAATAATAATAATAATAATAATAATAATAATAAAAAAGGAATGTATAATAAATCTTTATGATATTATAAAAATATTTTTTTTTTAAATCTGTAAAATTTTCTTGGATGTCAATACTTTTCCAGTTTCAACTTCATTGACTATATATCATTTACTTTCAAAGCCTTACTCATGAATTGGTATAATAAAGAATCTTTTAAAAGTATTGGTCTTCCGCCCACACTTATGACCGACTCATCTCACCTTTTTTTATTTCTTTGCTAAGATTTTTTGCATGTAGCAGCTAAAGGAAAATCAATTTTTAAACGATCGCACCTTTGGAATATAGAACAATGTGAGTGATTAATTGTTTTATGTATTTATTTATTAATGATTGATGGTTTTGGTTCTGAAACTCAAAGGAAGTGTTGCGCCAAGTTTCCAAGAGAAGCACAATGCTTGTTGTTTTGAATCGAGATTGATTGGAGGCATGAATGAAAATGTAAAGATGTTGAATCGAATTGGGTCATTTATTATAATTTCAAAGTTTTGGTAAGATTGAATCATGAAAACCATATGCAGGAAATGCATAAATCAAGTTATATTACAGGAGCTTAATAAATTATAATTCATTAAATTTAAAATAAATAAAAAGTTAGAACAAATGTAAAAATTTTTAGACTTTCACAGGTGAAAAAAATCATTCCTTAAAGATTATATTTTACATCTCTTGCATTTCCTTTCCCAACTGCATGAATTTTAACCATCAATATAATTTTTTACTCAACTAAAATATTGACAGAAGAATATGATTAAGAAAGGATGAATGATTAAAGATGAAATTGCCCCTTCATTTATTTTTCAACTGCAGGGGATCCCTTGTATTATTTTGCATGGATTTATCAGTAATATCATTTCCATTTTCAGTTTAAATAAGCTTTGAATTTGTAATTGACAAAACTACAGTAATGAGGAAATAGATATCAACAAATGTGAAATCAAGAGTGCCCCTTTTGGCATAATTACGTTATGCTTTCTCAAATTGGTTACTTCAAGAACAAGTGTTACATCTCAAGCAAAAATTGTTCGGATCCGGATCTTAATGTTTCAGCACAAACTGCAGGGTTATGTTAGTGTTTTTTTCGTATTTTTATTTAAACAAAAATACAAAATATAACCCTACAGTTAGGGAGGAATCCTTTGGTTCAATTGCCTTTTTCTTTATATTCTCAGCCTTACGAAAAATTTAATTAAAATATTTTAGCTGAAGGCTAGTATAAGTTAGCATATTAAGTAGTTTGTCAGCTTAGTCATTGTGTAGTTACATGAAGCTTTGCTGACTTTATACGCTCAATCTAGTGAGATTCTGCATAAAATGTTTTCTTTGAATGTGATTTTTTTTTTATTCAGTTCATGCTTTGAAATGCTGAAAAGGACAATTAAAATATGTGCATTAGAATAATAGAATTCTTAATGATTTTTGGATGAATCCAATCCTCTAATATTTTAATTTGTTTGTGGATAAATAAAAGTTTAAGTTTGAGTTTGTGATGAATTCACATTTTGTTGATATTTTACTTATCTTTTTAATAGATTTTTTTTATAAAATAAAGTTAAAAAATGTAAATATATAAAAATATCATTTATGTTATTAATTTTAATTTCTCTAATTTAATTTAATTTACGTAGTTTTATAATTATTTTTTTGTAAATATGCTTATTAGAATAAAATTGCAGGAAATTTTGCGCAATGATCCATAAAATTTGAGTTTTTAAGAAAAAATTTGATACAAATAATCACTTTCAACATTCAAAATAACTTCTAGCAAGGATTCTCTAAAAGTCAGCTAAAAATAAACACTTCTAACATTCATAATGAGTACTCCAGAGCTATTTCTAGAAAGCAAAGTAAAGCCTATTATTTTATATAGATTAAAGTATCAAATTATATAAGTATAACTTATATTTACTTTTACATTAATTTGTACTTTTTAATTTAATTTTTTCATTAGAAATCAACTATTAAATTAATATTTTTAATTATATAAATTATGTTTATCAATTTTAGGTTAATTTTCTTCAATAAAAAAATCAACAATGAAGAAGAAAAGTAATACTTGAAATAGTAGTTTGAATGGAATTGATTATAGATACTAGTACTAAATGTGTCATTGATGACGGCAAAACTGTGTCTACGTGTATTCATAAGAAAGGTCTTGCTTCACAAATAAACACAGGCCTACCTGTTTCCTCATAATTGATGGTATATCAGATGACACTTCTATTTTGTGCATTGATTGGTTATTAACGATAACGTATGATGAGGCCCTACCAACAGGGTAACATCTTCCAGAAAGTCAAACTGAACCGAGGATTTCTGGGGCGTTGAGTTTTTATCACTTTCTGCCCTCAGGAGTCGCACTCTATCATATACCAACATTTCGTGGCGTACAAGAAAACTCCTCTGCTTCAGAAGAGTCCATTTCTATCTCAACATCTTTTGGCAAATGGATTTATAAGCTTTTCGATGCCATGTTACAGAAAATCACTTTCCTATCTTAATATCCACCGATAGGGAAAATGATCCAAATCTGAAAAGCTTTTCGTGTGATCTTGGTTCTCAAAATGACATTATTTTCTTTAAACGGTTCAGCTACTTCATAACCTTTTGATGCCATTCTCCTTGAGGAAAACACCTTGTTAATTGTCAGCTTGCAGCTACTTGTTTTCTGACCCACTTACGTGACCCTTCGCAATAACTTTTCAATATCATGAGATTTTCATTAAAAAGTTTAATATTTCCGAAGATTCATGAT